GAGTGCTGGTTTGGGATTCATGAAGTTTCTTAGGTGTTCTATTTACCCATCTATTTTATTTATTTATTTATTTATTTATTTTGGTACTGGGGATTAAATTCAGTTCCTTGCACTTGCAAGGCAGGCAGCAGAACCACTGAGCTAAATCCCCAGCCCTCCCCATCCATTTTAAAAGACAGTTTTGCAGGATAAGTCAGTCTAGGTTGGAGGTTGTTTTCTTTTAGGCCTTGAAATACCTCACTCCAGGCTCTCCTTGACTTGAGTTTTTTTGTCTTGTTTTGTTTTGTTTTTGAGACAGGGTCTCCCTAAATAGTTGAGACTGACCTGGAACTTACTGTGTAGTCCAGGCTGGTCTTGAACTCACAGTGATACCTCTGCCTCAGCCTCCCGAGTGCTGGGATTACAGGTGTGCGCCACCACTTCCAGCCTGAGGATTGTGTTGAAAAGTCTGCTATGATTCTGATGGGCTTTACTTTGCTTGTGATTTCTTTCTTTTCTCTAACTACTTGCAGTATTTTGTTCTTCTGTTGGGTTTCAGGATCTTGACTATTATATGTGTAGGTATAGACTTTTTTTTTTATTATGGGTAGTTGTAGACCTACATGCCTCACTTATCTGTAGTCAAATTCTTTTGCTGTGTTTGGGAAGTTTTCTGTCAATTCTGTGAAGAGTTGTTTTTTTGTTTTTTATGTCATTTGTACTTTCCACTTCAGGATTCCTGTTAGTTCTCTTCTTTGCATCATCTAGGAGTTGTTGGATCAACTTCTCGTGATGACCAGCATATAATTTTTAAGAAAAAATTATTTTACCGATCTCTTGCCATTTGGTGAGCTTAATTCATTTACATTTAAGGTAATTACCTATAAGGAAGTATTTACTTCTGACATTTTACTGTTTGATTTCTGTGTGTGTTGTTTTTATTCCTGCATATTATGTTTTGTGTCTAATTGATTTTTTTAGTATACCATTTTGCTTCTTTAGTCATTCCTTATCTGATTTTCTAAAGTTATTTTCTTAGTGGTTTAAAAATAACATCCTGAAAATATAATAACTTAGGTTGAATTAGTACCAACTTATCTTCATTAGTATGCAATGCTCTGCTTCTTAATGTTGAGATTATGCCTTTCCACAGGTATATACACCTCTTAACATAGTTATAACTATTGTTTTATGCATTTATCCTTTAAATTATACAAGAAAAAGGTATATAAGTCTAAATACAAAGATACTGTTTTTCTTATTTACCTGTGTTACCAGGATTATTATTTTTGTGTGGCTTTGAGTTACTGCCCAATGTTCTTTATTTTCTGTGTGAAGAATTTTCCTTTAGCATTTTTTTCTAAAAGTAAGAGACATTTTTCTTTGATCATGGAATATTTAAAATTCTCCTTCGTTTTTTTTTTTTTTGGTACTGGGAATTGAACTCAGGACCTTGCACTTGTGAGGCAGGTGATGGAACCACTCAGTTAAATCCCCAGCCCAAAGTTATTGTGGGTTTTTTGTTTTGTTTGTTTTGTTTTTTGGTACTGGGTATTAAACTGGGACCTTGTGCTTTTGAGGCAGATGGTGGCAGCACTAAGCTAAATCCTTGGCACTCCCCTTCATTCTTCAGAAACTTTTCTTTTTTGGTACCGGGCATCAAACTTGCCTTGTGTTTGCAAGGCAGGTGGTGGAACCACTGAGCTAAATCTCTGGCCTTCACTCTTGATAGATTTGTTGGGTATAGAATTCTTGATTGAAGGCCTTTTTCTTCCACCTCTTTGATTGTTACTGCATTTGTCCCAGCAGTTAATCTTACTGATAATTCCTTGTGGGACAGTTCACTTCTCTCTGTGCTTTTTCTTTGACATTTAACAGGTTGGGCATCATTTTGTGTATCTCAAGTTTTTCTTCCTTGCAGTGTATAAGTTTCCTGGATGTGTATATTAACTTTTTCAATTTGGAAGCATTTGACTACTGTTTCTTGAGATTGCTCTCAGCCCCTTTCATTTTCAACTCACCTACGTGAATTCCATTGCACTTATGTTTATACTCCTTTGATGTTCCAAGATCTTATACTCTGTTTAATTTTCATTCTTTTTTCTCTTAAACTCAATAATTTACTTGCCCTGTAATAAATTTAGCCTATTTCACTTGATTTGTATTCATTGTGCTGAATCTTATGCCTGTGCTAATCTGCTATTGAAGCCGTTAGTGAATTTTTCATTTTTGCTTTTGTACGTTTCAGGTCTAAAATTTCTATGTTTTAGTATTTATGTATTGTTATTCCTTGTTTATTGAACACATATTCTCTTGTTTCTATGACTTTCGGTTGAAAGTAACATCTATGCCTTGTAATCTACTTTGTGTTTATTCAATAAAAGTTTCTGTAAATTTCTGTTTTCCTTTGAATGGTTTGTACTTTCTTGATTCTTTATATATTTAATTTTTTCTTGTTGAGTACTGGGCATTTTGAATATTATGATATGTAAAAAGAAAATATATGTGCTAGAAATATATGCAATATAGTGGCACCTTGGGTCATGAACTTAATTTGTTCTATAAAAAGATGGCCATGTTTGTTTCAGTGGGAAAGATGGCCACAGTTGTGTTTGTCACCCAATGCAGAATTTGCAAACAAAAGCGTTCGTGAACCAACGTACCACTGTGTGGTACACAAAACACACACACACGCGCACATGCACACACGTATGGTATGTATAATCTCTATGTCTGTGCATTTGGCCCTGCACTGGAATACTGCTTTTTTGTTTAGCTCTATCTCTCACAGATCTGCCTTAGCCTCTCCTCACCTAAAGATGTACCAGAAGTAAAAGCTATGGTCTGTTCTGATCATGCATTCTCCCCTAGAGAAAGTCCTCTTTCCTCAAAGATGCTCACATTCCACCCTTTTGTCCCTTGGCTTTCAGTGTGTTTGTTTGTGTTCACTGATACTTTGTCCTAACAACAGGGTTCTATTCTACAGCAACTCCATTTCTCATCTTGCTTGACCTCTGATGGCTAAAGGGAGCAGTCATCCCTGGCCTTTTTTGTTTGTTTGATTTGGTCTACATATTGTGTTAATTGTGGCTTGTTGATTGTTTTGATGTCCTGACTGTGATACACTTGAGACAACAATAAACTCCAAGGAATTCATTGCCAAGTCTTCCCTTGCTTCCTATAGACTATTTCTTCTGCTTTCTTCTCTTAGCATTTCAGATTTTCAGATTTTTGTGCATTTTGCTTTGTGTGCTATTCCACTGCTTTAAATTGTAATTGATGGGGGCACTTGGGTTGAATGTATTTGCTCCGTAGTGGCTAGAACAGGGACTGAAATACAACCATGAGTGAATGATTAGGTGAGTTCATGGAACTTGACCTCAAGTTGCTTGCAGCTTATGTGGTTAACAGTATTATGATAAGTATAATATTAAGAGAATTAAGATAAATAGACCTATGAGAACTCAGGCAAGGGAATGAAATTACTTATAGCTACTGGGGACAGGATATGTGGTGGGGTGGTAAGGTCACTTCTCCGACACTAATCAGGTGTCCTTCAGAGTCCTCTCGACTCTTAATAAAACCCGTAGGTTATAGATACCACCCTGCCTCCCTTCACTGCACCTAAAACCTATAAGCTATAAAGAGTTGCTGTAAGCCTTTTGAGTTCATTAAGTGCTGGAACCACGCAGAGAACTTGCTCAAGGCACTATACATAACAATTGCCATTTCATTGTAAAGGATAAAGCATAGAAACAGTCAAATGGAAGCAACATATAGATTAAGGTCTACAGGCTTTCGCAGGGGGGATACACGGCTTTTTTGTGAACTCTAACACATGAAACAAATCAACATGTTCACCAACCAGGAAACTCCACTGAGCAGTGACCATGGGCATGGTTGATTAAATTACTGGCTGTATATCTGAGCTCAGTCTCCAGCATCCTCTCCATCTCCACATCTATTAGCCCAGTTTCAGCCACCTACTGATGTGATTGGCTTTTCTAGTAAGCAGCCCCCAGCCTGCTGCTATCTAAGATCTACTTGAGTCACTTTATTAGTATAACAGAGATTATTGTATCACTGGAGAACTTCCACAGGATTAAAGTTCTGTGCCAGGAAGTGGCACATATACATTCATGTTAAACTGTACTCATTAAATAAGATTTTTATCGAGAATGTGGCGCTGGAGTGACATGAAAGTTGTAGACAGGTTTAAACATTTGGAAAGGGCATTTCTTGCTAACACAGTAGAATTAGGAATGAGTATTAGCTCTTACACAGGAGGAACATATACAGAAATGTTAGATTCAGTATATTAAGTACTTTCTAAATGTTAGTGTAGGACATATTGTTACAGAAGGAATTGGTAAGTGACATGCACCAGAGAGGGGCAGAATGGAAGTAAAATAACAAAAAGTTTATTGTCAACAAAAGGTTGATCACACCTAAAAATGGTGCCAGAGATATACTGGGCTATAGTGTCCCCTTTTATAGGGTTCTACAGCCATGATCTCATTCAGATGGTTACATTTCATTCTCAGTTCACATTGCTGATATTCAAATTATGGTCACAAGACAGTTAAATTTCAACTCAGATTAGCAATTCTTTGTAGTTAGGGAGTTTACCTTTAAGATTGATCTAGCTGCCTATTCTAGCCCAGGGGAAGGGGGTGCTCCCAATCAGTGAAGCAAAGTTAATAATGGTTCTTTACATCTTGACCTTTACAATCATGTGGTTATGAAACTTTGGAGCTTGGGGTCTTGGTGTGTCCTGTTATCTCAGGATGAGGCCAGGTGTCCCATTCTATAGTAAATGCCTCTGGTGTCTGTTAATTTTGAACTGAACAAAGCAGATTGGAGCTAGAAAAGCAGAAGTCACCTTACAATTTCCTAACATTTTGTAGGTCTTGGCTATTCACAAAAGTTTTCTCTATCAATATGAGAAGAATAAATTTTAAAAAGTCAGATTTGTTTTGTATTTAATGATATGTATTAATCATAGAATCTTGTTCCTACAGAGCAGAAGAAAGAAGAGATTTATTCATGTTTTTCCGAGGCCTACATTTTTTTGTGGAATGGTATGAATATCGTAAGCGTACATTTAAACATTTCAAGGTAAAGTCTGAAATCTTTATAATTTAAACATATGTAGAATATGAAGCTGGAATTATTTGGTGATTCAGCCCTAGTGGACTTTCCTTAAAGTTTTCAGAGAATAGAAAATATTTTCATTGGCTTCAGGAAATTATTTGTAATAAATGGAGAAGAAGCTTCTATATAATCAGTATTTTATATTACATGATATTTTGAATGAAATGTAGTTATGTTCTAATTTATTTTCAATCTACATTTTAAAAAGTAAGCCTTTTAAGGATGCTTGACATAAAACAATAAATGCTAATAAACTATAATCATAAGCTTCTTATGTTGTTATAAAAAATTTTAAAAACAAGCTTGTTATGAAGCAGTATATTTAACTTTCTGAGGCAAGGTATGTATTTTGGTTTTGTATATTTTGAGTTTAAATGCTGAAGCCTGATTCTTGTGAAGTAATGTTTCGTAAGTCTGATAGAGATACTTCAAAGCACTTCTTTTTACTTGTTTTGGGAGCATAACCAGAATTATGTTTGATTGCGCTATAATCCCTCCAGGCCTACACAGTGGGATAACATTAAATTATTGACAGTTGTGAGCACACAAAAAACAGTTCTGAAAGAATTAACAAATAATATTTCAAGTTTCAGATTCCCTCAAAAGCCGACCCTGTTCATGACTGTTGCTTTTAGGGCTGGTTTGTAACTTTTCTTTATTTCGGGTTGTATTCTTTGGTTTGTTTGTTTGTTTGTTTCCATGTTTATTTTTGTAAAGGAATGAATTCCAAAATAGTTTCATAATATAAATGTCTTCCTTTTTTAGAAAGCCGCTTTGCTTGCGAAAGAGCATGAAAAAGTTAAAATCACTTTCTTTCCTACACCTTCACCCTCTACATAAACAATACTAAGTGACTATGCTGTGGTCCTCAATAAATTTAATGATTAATTATCAATATTAGCTGTTTTTAAAATACCTATATTTTACATTACTTTGTCAAAAATAAGCCAATCTTTTATAAGCCAATCAACCTCATTTCATCATTTAGTTATTGACTGATTTTCAGTTCCCATTTTTAAGTGTTCTAGAACTTATCTGGCTCTAGCCACACTGGAAAATCAAATTAAATTAAAAGTCTTAATTGCATTCAACTAGCCTCCTTTCATCATCATAGCACAAACAATGAAAGTGAATCAAACATTTTCCTTCAAACTGGGAAACTGAACGGATTAAATCATTTGGCTTGGATTCAGTTAAGTTCAGTATTTACCACCAGTTGAATTATCCCCCCCCTTATGTTAAGAACAATCATTAAAGTTAAGTATTTGAGAAAAATAAATAAAAGCTACAAGAGTTAAATCTGTATTAGCACTGCAAAAACCAAATGAACATAAACACACACATACATGGTTATTTATTTTTATGTTAAGACAGTAATTTTGATAACCAGAATGCTTGGATTAATATTTATCTTATTCCTTCCTGCTTTTTAAGAAAGAAGTTCAAAGCACTCAAAGGGCTGAGTAAGCAAAGTGCATGTAAACTGAGTAAAACATTAATACTGATCATTTTGTCATTTTGGTCTGGTCCAGAAGAGGCCTATTTTAGGAGCATGACAAAACATACTGCATAAGAAGAGTAGTCAGGTTCTGAACTCAGGTGATTTTATATATAGAAGTAGTATATTTTTCTTAGAAGAAATGAAAGGGAAGCAGCCAGTCATTGAAAGTGTTTTTTCTTGTAGATCTCTTCTACAGTATTAGCCTAGTCCCGTGGTAGCGAACCCATGGCACACGTGCTGCCGTAGCTGTGTCACTGAAACCTCTAAAAGGCTCACCATCGCTAGCCTAGTCATTTATCATTGTGAATTCTTAGAAGAATCTCATCCTTAAAGGAGGTCCACAATACCTGCCTTAAGTCTTACTACAAAATAAAGTTGATAAAATGCTAAAATAGAAATAAGTGATATCTTAAAAAAAAAAAAATCTTAAAATCCAGGAAGTATATTCCATGGTGAAACTAATGAAAAATCCTCACAATAAGTAAAATACTTCTTTGCTAATAGGTGATTGATTACATATCTGAAATAGAAAATGTCACTTTTAATAGCCTGGAGAAAAGATCATGTCAACAATTTGGAAATAAGAACCTACATAGGTGTTGACCTATAAGAAAAAGTACAACACAAAAAAATGTTGAGAGTTATTTACAGATTTAAAAGTGTTCTCATCTTTTCAGCAAAAGTCGTAGCACACCAAGTGCACCAAAGAAGAAAATATATAGGCCCCAAATCCTAACCACCAAACAATGGCATGTAGATACTACCCTTGAGTTCCAGTCAATCTTCTCTTCCAAGCTGAGACTCTTAAAACCTGAAGAAACTTTTGCAGAAAACCAGTAACTTACAAAGTGGAAAAGAAACTGAAAGGTGGGAAAGCTGGTACAAAGAGTGCTGATAACCAGTTTGGTGTCATTTCCTAGAGGTTTCAGTCCATAGTCAGCTGGCTCTGAGTCAGGGATGGCAAACAAGCATTACAGAGGAGCAACAACACAGCGAGTGCAAGACAGCAAAGGCATTAAGAGGGACTGTATTCTTTTTTATCATTACATTCATCCTACTGGACTGAGCTAATAAAATATGTGAAGCATGAGATTTTCTCCAGAATGAAACATGGGCAGTTCCTATACTTCAGTCCCTTGAAGAGCTCTCATTTTGCTATATTTCTTGCATGTGGTCTTATGTTAGGACAATTAAATTATCTTTGCTTCACAATTGATACAATACAATGATTGGTGAATGTGCTGGCAGTTATGGTAATGAATGAATCACCTATTACTTGACATTTTACTCAGGAGAATGTTTCATTATGCATTTGAGTATGTAGTGGTTTTTGTGACCTCTGATCCTGATATAGTTAGAGTCTGGATGTCCCCTAAAGCCTCACACAGTCATAGGTGGCTTTTTCAGTGGTGACTGAATCTAGGGTGTGTGATGCTGGGTTTAATGGCATGTGATTACTAAACCTGTATACTGATTGGTTTGCCACCACTCTAATCCTGGTAATCTGAATAAAAGGGGCAGGAAGATGCTGTTAAGGTTCCCTTGTTGCTTTTGCTACTGTGTGAGCACCATGAACTGTTTCTCTTCTGTGACACCCCTCTGCCATGTGCCACTCTGCCTTAGAGCCAGCCAGTTATGGACTGAAGAGCCTTCTACAAATTGTGAGCTAAATAAACCCTTTCCCCTTTAACTTCGGTGTTGAGTATTTTGTCTCAGCAATGAGGGAAAAGTAACTAATACAGGTCCCCATTTGCTGGTTTGACTCTAAATCAGTCGTTATGATTTGCATGCCATAGTGGGGCATTTATCATTGAAAGCTGTAAAACATTCACTATCACTGCTGTAGATGCTCTCCATGCAGGTGGAGAAGTATAATTGGTATATTCTTTTTCAGAGAATATAGATTCTATGAACTGCTCTTTGAGGGTAATAACATTTCTAGGATAGAAAAATAGTCACATTTTACTGAAACCATTTTCTGTATCTTTTTCATCATCCCAAATCAAACTCTGTATCCCATTTTCTCCTTTCCCCAGTCCCCGGTAAACACTACTTGATGTTCTGCTTCTATGAATTTGACTATTCAAGGTACCTCCTATTGTTGCAGAATTCCAAGAGACAGGAGAGACCAATGGGATTTAGGAGGATTTATCTCTGATTTAAAGTGTACACTGGCTCAATGGACTCCTGTCCAAAGGAAGAATGTTGAACAAAGAGAAGTTCCAGGTTTTATACATTTGATCAAAAGGGGTGTGGTCTTTCTAGTGATGTGAAACCGAGGAAGTGGGCTAGCAAGGTTACAGAAGCAAACAAAAAGCAAGTTAGTCACATCTCACACAATGACAACTTTGTTCCCTGTGAATCTTGTGAGCTTTGTTTACAGGACATATTTGCCAATCTTAACTGTATATTTTGAGGACTTACAGTTCCTTAAAGGTTGCAAAGACTTCATTGACAGAAATGTAACCGTCTGCCCTATTAGTACCAGGGAAAGAGGCAGATTCCTGAGAAGTCATGTCTTCACTGGACTCTGTTAGCAAGAATCTTGTTTACCTCAACTGTAGCAGAACAAGCCGTTACAGCTGGGGGGTGGGGGTGACCTGAGGTGGGGAAGGAATTGCCCTTGTTTTTCTTTAAGTCCTGCTTCAATGTAGGTGGAATGTCCTTCTTTTCTGGATTATTTCTTTGAGGATAGTATCTTCAAGGTTTATCCATGTTGTAGCATGTGTCAAATTTCCTTTCAAGGCTAAATAATACTTGTACCATGTTTTGATTATCCATTCATCTACTAATTGACACCGCCCACTGCCTTTTCACTGTGTGAATAACACTGCTTACCAATATTGCTTCATGTCCTTGCTTTTACTCTTTTAAGTATATGCTGGGAAGTTGGTTTGTTGGAACAAGGGGTAATTCTAAGTTTAATTTTTAGAAGAATCATACATTGTTTTTCACAGCAGCTACACCATTTTACTTTTCTACCAATAAAGCACAAGAGATCCAGTTTCTCCTTAACCTCTCCAACACATATTTTGTTGTTGTTTTGTAAAAATTAATCCTGAAAGTAGAAAGTGATACTTCACTGGGTTCTGGTTTGCATTTGTCTGGTAGACTGACTAGCAGTGCTGAGCATCTTTCTGTGTGCTTATTGGCCACTAGCATCTCTGTGGTAAATGTTTGTGAGGGTCTTATGACCATGTTTCAGTGGGTTGCTTTGTGAATTGTAAGATCTCCTTATATACTGTTGATATTAACTCCTTTTCAAATACATGATCTGCACATACTTTCTCTGGAGTTATTTCATTCTCTTGATAATATCTTTTAATACACAACATTTTGATAAAATTCTGTTCCTCTATTTGTTTTTGTCTGTGTTTTTGGTGTCTGATTCAAGAAATTATTACCAAATTCATTCTCAAAAAGAATTTTCTCTGCTAAGAATTTGTAGTTTGGTGCTTAAGGCCAGGTTTTTATTGTTTTTGTTGTTTTGTGGTACTGGGGATTAAATCCAAGTCCTTGGCACTGAGTTATATCCCTACTCCTTTTTTATTTTGAGATAGGGTCTCAGTAAATTGCCCATGCTCAGTTTGAACTTGTAATCCTTCTACCTCCCAGAGTAATAGGATTACAGGCATGCACTAATGCATCTTGCCAAGATATGTCCCATTTTTAATTAATTTTTGTATGGTGTGTAGACTAAAGCTGCAACACCATTTGTTATGGTTTGTCTCTAGATGTCCCCCTCAAAGCCTCATGCAGTCATAGATGGGAGGAGTCTAGATCTGGAATATGTGATGCTGGGATCAAGGGTGTGTCACTACTAATTAATCCACTGATTTGTTTGGGCTAGTTCTTGGCAGGATCAAGGATGTCCCACCCTAAGGGTGGGTTGGCTGGATAAGATACAGGAATAGAAAGAAGGTCACTGTTGCTTGTTACTTGTCACTTGTTGCTTCTTATTGCTGCTGCTTGTCTTCTGCTCTGCAATGACCCTCTGCCATGCCACCCTGCCTTGGAGCCAGCTGATTATGGACTGAAACTCTGCAAACTGTGAACTAAAATAAGCCTTTTCTTCTTCAACTTTGAGTGTCGAGTATGCTATCTCAGCAGTGAGAAAGGCAACTAAGACACCGTTCTTTTGTGCATGTATATCCTATGTTTCCAATATGTATGTATGTATATGTGTGTGTGTGTATGTATGTATGTATTTTTTGATACTAGAGGATCAAATCCAGGACCTTAATGCTTCAAGGAAGGTACAGTGCCACTGAGCTAAATCCCTGGCCCTCCAGCATTATTTGTTGATGAGACCATCCTTTCCCCATTACATGCTCTCTGTACTTGTGTTGAAAACATTTGACCATATAGTACCTCAAGGATTTATTTCTAGTTTCTCTAGTCTGTTCCACTGATTGTATCTGCATTTATGGCAGTATCACATTGTTTTGATTACTGTAACTTTGTAGTAAGTTTTCAAATTGGAATTTGAGTCTTCTCTCTGTTCTTCAAGATTTTTTTTCCATTTATTTGGGGTCACTTGAGACTCCATGTGGACTTTTCTATTTCTGCAAAAAACATCTTTGGGACCTTCGTAGCGATTGGAGTGAATATGGAGATTGGTTTGTCATCTCATTAGTAAATTTTGCAATCCATGAAGACAGGCTATTTCTCCATTTATATGTGCCTTCAGTTTCTCTCAACAATGTTTGTAAGGAATAAATCACTTTTAATTTTAAGCCTGTACTTCTTTAATTATTGTCAAGAATAAAACATCTATATTCTATAAGGAAGTCTATTTTTACTTTTTTTCATTAATTTTTCTGTTACCTTCTGGATCTGGGTGGTATAATTTGTATTGCTTATTTTATTCCCAGTTTAAGAGTATGTAGATTAAGATGTATGCTACCTATATTTGTGTCTTTTTTTTTTTAATTTGAGAGTTATGTTGCTCTTCTCAGTAAGTTATTATCAAAAGAATGTAGGAATTCCTTTTTTTTTTTTTTTTTCTGGAAACTAGAAACTTAACAGGTATATCTAACCACATTCTGTAGTGTCACCCTTAATGTGGAGTCCTCCATCAGGGATATATTTTCAGATAAAGTTAATTTATTTCCATTGGTTTACTCAAGCTTATGATAGTTTAAAGATTGTTTTTTTCCAAATAAAACAGAACCCTTCTGTTTGGATAGATTTCACAATATTTATCGTGTATTTAATTCAGGTGTGCTCACTGTTATGCTAGGCATTGTAAAAGTATAAAGACAAGGCTGTGTTCAGTGCTCTCTGCTTTTAGTCACAAAGAAATGAGACATGCACACAAAATATGAAGCAGCATAATAGTTATGATCATTAGTTACCAAAATAAATGAGCAAGTTAATAAGCAATATTAGAATCATAATTATAGCCTGAAGAGGTCACAGATGCTTAAATGGAAAAGTTTCAACTTGGGGTCACCTTGAAAAATAGGGGGTCCATTTTTTTTTGGACATGTATTTGTGGGAATTGTGGTTCTGTTCACTTGGCAGCTTTTTTGCAGGGTGCGGGGGTCCTGGGAATCGAACTCAAGACCTTGCGCTTGTGAGGCAGGCAACAGACCCACAGAGCTAAATCTCTGCCCACCCCCCTTTTTTGGTACCTGGGATCAAACTCTGGTCCTTGTGCTTGCAAGGCAGGCAGTGGAACCACTAAGCTAAATCCCCAGCCCTGGTGGATCCATTTTAGCTAAGGCAAAAAAAAACAAGGAAATGCTTAAAAGTAGGATTGAAGAGGGATTCTGAGATTAGTATATAATAGAGACCAACTTGATTTCCATGTATAATTTATAATGGAAATGACATTAGTACTTTGATATCCACGTGTCATGATCATGTTTCTAAAGCTGATAATTTTGAGTTTAGCTCCAAAGCAATGTGTAGACTTAAGATACGTTAGTGTGGTACGGACAAGAAGTTTAATTTGGTAGCATTGTGTTGTCATAAATTGTCAGAAATAGATTGAAGACTAGATTCTCAGCATTCAGTGTATCTGCACAGCATGGGTGTTGAGAAATGTCACTCAGAGCTTTACTGTGAATATCCATTTTGTTTGGCTGAACATGTGTGCGTGGATAGCCGGGAAGGTAGAGTGCAGTAACACCATAGAGCACACTGTTTTCATGTTATGTTTGAACAAATTCATAGATGAGCTGCTCATTCCTTTTATATAAAAAGAAAATATTCACAGTTATTTCATATTTTGAAATCTTTACAGTGCAGGAGCCTTATTACTGTTCTCTAAGAAATAGGCTAGGGTTTTGTTGGGGTTTTTTTGTTGTTTTCTTATAGGCTTACTGGTTTTGACCTACTTGTCCTTTTAAAATGTTTTATGATAGAACATTATCTAGATTAAAGAAAATTTTATCATTTTATTAAAGACTATGTGACCACAAAATAGAAAATTGAACATTTTTATATAAGCAGTTTATCAGAGTAAAATTCTACTTTATTTGAAAAAGTATTTTCTATGTCTGAGACTATGCCCTATTTGTCAAGCTAAGTGAAAATACAGTAAGATAGCTGCCTTCATAGGAAAAAGCAAAGTTCTTGCTTCATAGTGTTTAATGATGAATCATAAAGGAAACATGGGAGATGACTGGAAATATTTAGCTTCAGAGTTTTGGATTGCCTGCCCTAAATGCTTTTGAGATACAGTAAAGGCCCAGAAAGACAAACAACTGAAATTTCTTAGACTTCACTTTCTTCATTAGTAATGAGAATAATGCATCTCAAATGTTATATTTATACTAAGACATGCCCTTTAAATGGTAGTCTAGTGTAAACTACAAGGATTTTTTAAAAATTGCTTTTTAAGCTTTTTCACATTACTTTGTTTTTGCTTGTATGTAAGATTTTAATGTATCTTTGCTTAAAATACAAAATTCCTTAATAATGGGATACAAGAATAATATTAAATGAATACTGATGTTCCTTGACACATTGTTGAGACAGATTATAAGTATGTGTACTTTTTCTTATATACTGTATTGGCAGTGGTTAAAAGTATGACCCTATCGGTAATCTTTTTAAGCAAATGAAACTGTTTGGATGCTTTCCCAGGATAATTGGATTGCCCTCCAGACGAATCTCTTCAATACGGTCCCGAATATAGCGGGTGTCATTAGCTTTGCAGAATGTATCATCTGTAACTGAAGTTATGTTATTAAACTGAAAAAGAAAAAGAAAAAAATTGTTCAAAAGTCTGAAATTAATCTATTACATGCTATATAATGGGATTTCACAGAATATCTTATCTAAAAAGTACTTTAAAAATAATTGAACACACCGTATATCCTCATAGTAATTAAAGCCTCTCTGTGCAATCCAATCACTCTATTCAAGTATATAGTATTATTTTGGAAAAACAGATTACTTGCTGTTATTTGGAGTAATACCCATGTATAGCATGAAGTTCTGAATATAAATAAGATTATACTACCTGAAGAAAATATTCTGTCCAAGAGTGTCAACTCAAAATGGATACTATATCCTTGAATATTCTCTAAAGAAGTAAGAAGAAGCCAGACTTAGTGGCTTATGCCTGTAATCATGGTACTCTGTGGGGCTAAGACAGGAGGATTGCAAGTTCAAGCCCAACTTGAGCAAGAGACCCTGCCTAAAAAAAAAAAAAAAAAAAAAGCTGGAGATGTAGCTCAATACAAAAGCCTTATGTTTAATGAATCACCACAAAAGAGAAGAGACCACCAGAAGAGGAAATTCTTATGATATTAAGAGATCAATTTTAGTTTCTCTTCTCTTCTCTTTTCTTTTTTTTTTTAAACCAGGGATTGAACTTAGGACGTTGTACTTGTACTTGCCAGGCAGATGCTGTGCCACTGAGCTACATCTCAGGCCCAATTTTAGTTTATTTTCATTCCTTCATTTTTGCATTTCTAACTTGCTGTACTATAAAACCAGCTAGAAAGTCTCCAAAAGCAGATGTTCACCACTATATGATGAAAAAAGCATAAATCAGAGGCCTGAGTGCTTACTCCCTTCAAGTTCATGTATTAAGACTCATTAAGAGATGCCATGTATACATCTAGAGATGAATCCTGCTCAAGGGCAGACTTTAAACCTATGAGGCTAGTTCATTTAGTATGCTCCGGAAGCAGGGTTCATATGTCTGCTCTTATTTTTTTTTTAAAGTTCTAGGGATTAAATTCAAGATCTCTGAGGTACATCTTCATCTATTATATTTGTTTGTTTATTTTGAGACAAGGTCTTGCTAAATTGCCTAAGACATGAAATTGCAATCCTCCTGTCAGCCTCCTGAGGATTATACCACCAATACCTGGCTAGATAGTAATACTTTTGATAGGCATTGTCACACTACTGTAATGATCTAACCATGATTTAAATGTGAAAGAGTGAATTTCCTAACAATTCATAATGATCCTTAGGTAATTAAAACCAGATATTGTTGAAGGAGCTGTAATACCTGAAGATGAATTATACGCAGACTTTCTGGTAAATTAGGAGGCACAGATTCCAGGGCATTGTGATCCAAGTAAAGGAAGGAGAGCTTATTCAATTTCTGCAAAGAAAATTTGGTTTGTGTGTTACTGAAGTCTGTGCATTCCTTCATAGGATTCAAGCAATATATAAATGAAAAAGGATATCAGTATAAACACATAGTAGTATCATTTGTTGGTATGGAAGTTTCTTTTTGTTTTGGTTTGGTTTGGTTTGGTTTTTTGAGACAGGGTCTCACTATGTAGTTGAGACTTACCTGGAACTCACTATGTAGCCCAGGCCGGTCTCAAACTCACAGCAATCCTTCTGCCTCAGCCTCCTGAGTGCTGGGTTTACAGGTGTGCGCCACCACGCCCGGCAGTATGGAAGTTTCTTGTTATGGTTTCTGATTTTAGCTTCACAAATAGTCTGTTTTGGTCCTTGATGACTCTGCTGCATATTCTACATTTCTGGACATCTCATCTCTGAATATCCAACCTTAATGCCATCTTTGATGTCCTTTGAATTGGTCTTGGGAGCAGCTAATGAGGCCGCTCTCTGTGTGGGGTTAATTTTTGAATCTTGATGGTGCCCTAACCTCTCTTGAGCCTCGGAAACTTCCTATCTCAGCTCCACTGCTCCTAACTAGGAAATGTGTGCTTAGCAAGATGTTTCCACCTAACTTGATATGGCTTTTCCCTAAGGGCTTTATGTTGGATTACTTTTCAGATCAATAGCTCATTATCACATATGCGTGTATATCATGGTTTCAGAGTGTAGTTTGCTCTGGCATTTCACTTTTACCTTAACTTTGAAATGCAAATGAGGTGCTAGTTTCACTAATTCTTTTCTGTGCTGTTATTTTAAGCCTTTCTTTAAGCATCCTGCTAAGCTCCTATCCTCCCAGTGGGTCTCATTTACATGAGTTACAGTAACTTTATTTTACCATTGGCTTTTGCAGTCCTAGGGCAGTAAGCAAAACTGAAATTCAGTCAAACTTATCATTTTGATGCTTGGCACAAATCCACGTTTAAAATCCAAAATATTTAAACTAATTACTTGTTTATTTGTTTGAAACAGAGTCTTAGTATCTTACCAAGGTTGACCTTGAACTCCTAGAGTGATCTTCCTGTCTCAGCTTCTCTAGTAGCTGGGACTATACGCAAATGCCATAGTACTGGGCTGTAAATATTCTTTTTATGAGTTAACTTTTTTCCCCCAGTATTGGGGATTAAACTTGGGACCTTGCGCTTGCTAGGCAGGCAGCAGCACCACTGAGCTAAAGGTGAGGAGCCCACACCTTATAGGTCTTTAGGCTGACATACTTGATTCATATCTGCATATTACAAGGTTGGTTTTTTTTAAAGAGTGAATCTTCCCTTAAAAGGTTCTCTGTATGCCCCTTAACTTCTGAGTCTCTTATAAAAAAAAATCAGAGAAATTCTGAAATAACTCTAAAAATGTCCCTTAAAATTGAAAAAGGATACTTTATTAATTTAAAAAATGAAATATTTTTTTCTTAAAGAAAAAAATATGAGAAAATGGAAATAAAGTGTTTGTAAATGGGGAGGGGAGGAGGGGGTGAAGGGGAAAAAATGAGAACCAAGACCTGTCATGTAAAGGTACAAGATCCCAATGATGAAATGTAACTGTACTGTATACCTAAGATGTACCAATAAACTCAATAAAAAATGAAATATGTTAACAGACTTATAAATGTGAACAGATTATACATTTATGTGATTATTGTAAGCTTTGTGATATTTGATAATTTTATATCTTTTTATTAGGAGCTGTCTTTAGTAATTACAAACAGCGCTGTCTGAATTAGGCTGTGTTTGTTACTAACAGTGGCTTGATCATCCCATGCTTTTATCTAGGGTATCTACCAGAACAGGACTGATTATATCAGAGCTGTGGAAAATCTGGGCTGAGGTGATTACTTGTTTGGCTACTACCTAAAGCAAAGTTGATCATCTTCCCCTTTTCCTACAAAATATTTTCTTCAATTACTAAATTAAGAAGGATTTGCAAGCCTTACTACAATTTTGTATTAGGTGCCATCATAGACTTCAAAGGAAAGTCTTTATCTATGGAATGTTATAGTTTAGTATTTTTACATATTAAGTCAAATTCAGCCGGGGATTTAGCTCAGTGGTGCAGCACCTGCCTGGCAAGTACAAGGTCCTGAGTTCGATTCCCAGTACTGGGGGGAAAAAGTCAAATTTAGTGTTTACTTTTGCAACTTTATTTTTGTGGCATTTGTAAATTGTCAGTGTTGTAAGGGAAAAGAAACTCACTATGTAACCCAGCTGTCCTTAACTTGCAGCAATCCTTCTTGCCTCAGCCTCCCAATTGCTGAAATTATAGGTGTTTACCATCACACCTGGCCCAGTATGAATTTTTTATAGACTGTTAGTGCCATGAGGGTTCAACCAGCTCTAAGTATTAACTGTATAAATAGGCGAGCAAATGAAGTAGCTTACAGTCTCATGAAACAAAATGAAGATTATGGATTGTAGGGCCTGGGATTTAGCTCAGTGGTGCCGCCACCTGCCTCCTAAGTGGAAGGTCCCTAGTTCCATCCCTGGTACCAAAGAAAAAAAATTATGGATTGTAAGTAAAATGCTGTCATAAGTTAGGCTGAATGAGCCTAACAGTGCGCCTATTTATTATGTAAGTAAGGTTTTTATTTATTACATCAAAATAGCTTTAAAATATAATAAAAATAAAAGCTAGGTGCTTTGTTGCACATGCATAGTCCCAGCTACTAAGGAGACTGAGACAGAAGGATCACTTAAGCTCAGGAGTTGAAGGCCAACCTGAACAGCATAATGAGACTCTGTCTCAAAAAACAAAAGAAAACATAATGTAATGAAAACATAGTAAGAGGCCAAAGTTTCTCTTTCTTGTAACATATTATGCCTGATTCATACTATATTCAGTCATACTATTATATACTTACTTTGAATGTATTAGCTTTGATTCCTCTACTCTTGATTTTGTTGTGTTTTGCATTAAGTAGAATGAGGTTTGGAGGAAGAACTGGAAGTCTCAGTAGTTGATTTTCAGCAAGTGAAAGTTCTTCTAATAGAGAAAGTTTTGAAAAAGTACCATCTTCTATATCTTCTATCAAATTTCCAGTAAAATCAAGTCTTCTTAAGTTAGCTTGAGGTGAGTAATACACAAAAAATTATGTAGGTAGGAGGTAAAAAGAATTAAGATGTGTCATGTACATGTACCAGCTACGCACAAAGAATAACATGTACTAATAAAAATAATATTTTTAGGAAGTATGAAAGTAGAATCACATTGTGCAGACTGAACAGAAAGCATTTGTTTAATAGATCACTCACACATCTTTTATCTTTAGTGCCTAGTATAATGTTTGCAGTTCACACCTCAGCAATGTTTGTTGTTTGGGTGCTGGAGACTGAACACAGGGGCCTTACATATGCTAGGCAAACACTCTATACTGCATTACATCCCCAAGCCCATCAGTGTAGATTTGTTGGACACTAAACGTGTCTGTGTGCCTGACACTGATGTCTTTTCTAACTGAAGTTTTAGTTCTGAAGTTTGGAAGGTAGCTTAGCATTACTAGTTTTTCCATTCTTCTCTGAATTCCTCAGGATACACAGGTGGTTTGAAAGAAATTCTTATTACAAATCATAGAAAGCATTATATTATATTGAATGGAATCGTGTAATTAATATTTTCTGCTAGCATGTTAATCTCTCTGTGCATTATTGTTTAACAATAGCAAAGACAAAATCATGCCCTGATTTGTGAAGGTGACACAGCCTGAGAGATTGAAATATTTCGTGTATGTATGTACATGTGTATTGCTGTTATTTGGAATGGTTCTATGGTTGCTTCTCATTCATAGTAATCATTTTCTATAAAGTCTTTGCAGCACTTTACAGTGCACACTCCGTTATTGCTTCTAGGGAAATTGCAGCATTAGGTTCCCATGAGCCTTTTTAGTCAACAGATCATTTTTATTAACCAGTGAATACAAACCTTGTTTTATTTTTTGTTTTTGTTATTTTTTTGTTTAAAAACAACTTATTTTAAAGGAAACAAAAGTCTTTGTAAGTAAGGTGGAGGGGTGAAGGGAGGGCAGAGGTATAGGGAAAAAAATGAGAACCAAGACCTGTTATGTAAAGGTACAAGATCCCAATGATGAATGTAACTGTGCTGTATACCTAAAAAGTACCAATAAACTCAATAAGATAAAAAAAAAACACTTAGTTTACATACATTGTTGAGACATTAATGTTGTTCTATGACTTACGCTTGAATGGAGCTTGTCTAACACATGCATTTTCTCTTTAAGGCGCATCACAGATTTTCCTGCACTTAGAAACACTAGATAAAATGTTAACACTAGTGCTATTTTCAGCAGCAAAGCACTGAACAAAAAGCCCCAAAATCATGGTACTAAATACTCTTAACTGAGCACTAATTTACAGCATGAGCGCTAAAACTAGAAGAGTGTTGTCTTATTCAACCTCAGCTGAAAATGCACATTTGGAGTAACTAAAAATGTTTGCCGTTCTTTGTGTGTCTGGTAGTGATCACAAAGTACTGCGTGTATTGATTTTGGGTTACAAACATTTTAGCAAGTAGGTGAGTTTGAAAATATAGGTTCCACAAATAATGAGGATCAATTGTACGGTTGGTTGCTATTAAAGACATTATGAATCCAGTTGTAGCGAGGTTAGTGTGCTTTCCTGGTGTGATTTCTTCAGAATATGTGATAACCTAGGAATCTAAAAAGTTTATAATAAACTAGTGATCTGGGTCTGGGGCTTCGTATTGCAGAAATAGGGGATACTGTTGTACTGATGGTAATATCCTACTTGGGTTAAAGTTTGGTAGGAAACCAGATTGTTCCTGACCAGGAAAGGGTTGAAATGCCACTTTTCTCAACACCATTTCTGCATTAGAATCATTCAAGGAGTTTGGTTGGTTTCAATGATGATGCCCTAGGCCTCACTCCAGACCTGAATTACAACTCCAGGGGAATACAGTCTAGTATCAGTATTTTTGAAATATTTCCTCAGATATTTTTAATATTTATCCAGTTTAAGAGCCACGAGTTAAAGAAAAGCAGTTACTATGCTTTTATAATGAAGGTAAAAAATAAAATGGTGTGATTTAAGAAGCACATCTGTTATATTGGTGCACTTACTATCAAAGGCATAGTAGATCTTGAAGTACTGTGCTTGAGAAGATCCAGTTGTCTTTACATTAAATGGACTATCAGCATAGATACCAAAGTCACCACTAAAGAAAACTCACAAGGAAAGTCTGGGGATTTACCCACAAATCAGTGGATTTTTGTGAAGTATGTAGACACCTCATTACTCCAACAGTGACACCCTAGGGGTATACTAGGTTGCAAGTGTGTAGGAACTTGTGATTATATATATCTTATTTGAACTTACGTATGTCTGCAAAGTCCTTGGCAGTCAGCTTTTTAATTCTGTTGAATCGTGCATAAAGATATGCCGATTCCTTTGGCAAGGGTGGTACGGCGTCAATATCAACTTCTTCACAGTATACAGAGCCACTTAAACACACACACAGTAGGCACGTGGGCATTTCTGAATTGGGGAACAATCATAAAAGTTTAATGGTTTCAAATTTGGGGCCTATAATGGTAACATTGCTATCATGAATGCTCAGTGTTTCTGCCACCTGACTTGCAAGCACAAGGTGCTGAGTTTGATCCCTGTTACCACAAAAAAAAAAAGAAAAGAAAAAAAGAAGAGAAAAGAAGGTGTATTCCAAGAGCAGTGTAACAGTATGCTAGTTTGTCTTTATCTCCTTTCCCTTTACCCATTCTTTCTACCTGTGATCTCTACTTTTTCCCTGTAAATAACAAGTCTCAGGGTTTGTTTTTTCAATGATGAGGACTAAACCCAGAGCTTTGCACATAGTAGGCAAGCACTCTACCACATCATCCCCAGCCCATTTCAGTTTTCACATTACCATTCCTGTGTTTCTTTTCACACAAATGAGCAAGTAAATGTAAATTTTTATATATCTCTTTGTTTCTTTCATGAAAGGCATATTATAAATACTCTCTTGTACTTTTTTCACAGTGTAGTCTATATTGTTAGTGAACTTTTCCATTCATTTAAAAAATTGCATTGTATTTTGTGTGTATGTGTCATGTTTATTCAGTCACTTTAGTGTTTGGACAATTAGATTATTTCCAATATTTCGCAATTGCAAACAGTGCTTTGATAATTTTGCAGTTTATTTTCTTCTTTTAGAGGTGTATCTTCAGGGCAATTTCCTAGTGGCTGATTGCTATGTTAAAAAGTAGAGGTATAATTTATTTTATTAGATATTACCAAATTGTTGTTAAAAAAATGTACTGCCAAGTGTGGTGGCGCACACCTGTAATCCCAGCACTCAGGAGACTGAGGCAGGAGGATTGCTGTGAGTTCAAGACCAGCCTGGGCTACATAGTGAGTTCCAGGTCAGTCTCAACTATACAGTGAGACCCTGTCTCAAACAAAACAAAACAAAATTGTACTACTCTGCCTTTCTGCTAGCAGCATATAAGAATATGTTATGCCAGCACTTGCGAGGCTGAGGCAGGAGGGTCACTGTGAGTTCGAGACCAGCCTGGGCTACGTAGTGAGTTCCAGGCCAGTGAGACCCTGTCTCAAAAAAACAAAACAACAAAAAGAACTATGTTATGCTACAGCCTTGTCCATGAAATGCTAGTATATTGTCATATTTTCATTTTTACCAATCAGATAACTTAAACATAGCAATATACTTTTCATTTATATTTCTCTGATTATGTGAGATTAAACATCTTTTTATATGATTAAGGGTTATTTGAAAATAATTTTGTGAATTGTCTTCATTGTCCATTTTTCAAGTGGTTTTCATCAATTTCTAAGAGTTCTTTATAAATTAGAGGTATTTGTTCTTTTTCTGTAGCAGATATTCTCCCCAGTTTTCACTTGTGTTTGGCTTTGATTATGACTTATTTCATTGAAAGGTTTACTTTCATGGAGTCAAATTTGTTGTCCTTTTTTCTTATCGAGATCTCTAGATTTTTGAGGCACCCTATACTCAGGCTATCTCCTAGTATAATCTCATCTTACTCATTATATGTTGCTAAATCATTTGTAGTTTATTTTTCTGTATATGGTTTAGATCTAACTATCTTTTTTCAAAAGGCTGCCTAGTTCTTCCAGCCCTCTTTTTTTTTTTTTTTT